ATCAGGAATCATAAAAAACAGATTTTACTGCTCATTAACATTCAGAATAACCATTTTTGGCTTCTACCTAGGATAGACGAAATTAGAAAAAAGCATTGTCCCCACCCTTACAGCAAAAGGAACAAAACCTGATAAATTCATTTTTCTTAAATCCATCAGAGAGCTAAGATTACAGGGTAATATACTAAACAGTAAACTAATAAAAAATCTAAGAAAAGACAGAGGTCTTCAAGGAGAAACAGACAGGACCTGAGCACTTGCTCAGCTGAAGTTAAACATCAAGGCCTCATACAAGCCAGTAAGAAAAAATTCAGCTAAAATTTTTAACAAATTGCTACAGGCCAACCCTGAGCTATTGAGAGTATAAAACACTTGGGTGCCATAGACAAAAGGAGAATTTGCACCTACCAGTTTTTCCCCAAATTTTACCTAAAACTCCTAAGAAATAATCAGACACGGATGGGAAAACCTCAGAAAGCCTCCCTCATGTTGCAGAACTGTGGGAGGAAAACAGCATCCAATGGAAGAAAGACAATGAAAGCCCACAAAATCCTTAAGATGCTGGATAAAAATCTGGGTGTCCTAAGGCCACAGGTAAAGTCCTACTGCAGTTGAGGAAAGAAAATAGAAAGATAACTCTCCAACTCTGGAAGTGGGCAGAAAAATGTCCTGAGCCCAAATCATTAGAAACTCCCTACCAATGAAGAAGAAAATAAAAAAATCACTATGAGTCCCTAAACCTTAGACCAGGGGTCCTCGAACATTTTAAACAGGGGGCCAGTTCACTGTCCCTCAGACCGCTGGAGGGCTGGACTGCAGGCCCCGGGACAAGTCGGCTACTAAGCAGGACAGGCAGCAGCGGCAAAAACACCCGGCGGGCCTGTAGGTCTGTGGCCTGTGGCCAGTTGTGACATATTCTGGACATACATTCCCAAAACCCCTCTGCCAGCAGGATAGAAAACACAGTATATAAGCCCCTAGCCAAAAGGCCCAAATGGGTTCCCCCTCCACTGCCAGAGGTTCTGTTCCTCCAGCTTTTGCTTATCAATCTTTCTTTTTCTTTTGAAACAGAGTTTCACTCCGCCTTCATGGGTAGAGTATCATGGCTTAGAGTTCACAGTAACCTCAAATTTTTGCGCTGAAATGATCTTCTTGCCTCAGCCTCCTGAGTAGCTGGGACTACAGGCATGTACTGTGTTTCCCCAAAAATAAGCCCTAGCAGTATTTCTGTGCATTTGTTAAATGTAAACCCTACCCCAATAATAACACCTAGTGATGGGCTTAGCCACTGCATATCCATGCCATGCATTTCAGTGTGGAGAGGACGACATCCCCTAAAAATAAGCCCTAGTATGTCTTCTTGAGAAAAAATAAATTTAAGACAGTGTCTTATTTTGGGGGAAACATGGTACTACCACACCTGGCTAGTTTTTCTATTTCTAGGAGAGATGGGGGTCTCTTTCTTACTCTGGCTGGTCTTGAACTCCTGACCTCAAAAAATCCACCTGCCTCAGCCTCCCAGAGTTCCTCAATTTTGCTATCAATAAATGTCCAGCCTCAATCTTGCTATCAATAAACCCTGTCCTTTCACACTTACTGGCATGGTTGATGAAGTCATTCTTGAACCTCAAGACCAAAGACCTGGCACAGAAATAAATTCCAGCTATAATATGACAAACTTCATTGTTGTCTATTTTAAGAAATAACCACATCCAACCCAACCTTCAGCAACTTTTACCACCCTGATTGTTAGTCTTTCTCTGGCTCCGGTAGCTCTATACCAGGCATCCTCAAACTATGGCCCATAGGCCACATGCAGCCTGCCTAGGACATTTTATCCGGCCCACTGGGTATTTTTTCCGCCGCTGCCTATCCTGCTTAGCAGCCAACTCGTCCCGGGGCCCACAGTCTGACCCTCCAACGGTCTGAGGGACAGTGAACTAGCTCCCTGTTTAAAAAGTTTGAGGACCCCTGCTCTACACATTCACTAAGCAAAAAAGGGAACTCTCCTTGCTTTTCTGGTTCTGTTAAAACATTCCAGGTTACAGGCTCAGCGCCTATAGCTCAGCGGCTAGGGTGCCAGCCACATACATAGGGGCTGGCAGGTTCAAACCCGGCCCGGGCCTACTAAACAACAATGACAAATACAATTTAAAAAAAAATAGCCGGGCGTGTGGCAGAGGCCTGTAGTCCCAGCTATTTGGGAAGCTGAGGCAAAAGAATTGCTTAAGCCCAAGAGTTTGAGGTTGCTATGAGCTATGACACCACAGCACTCTACCAAGGGCAACATAGTAAGATTCTGTCTCAAAAAAAAACCAAACAAACAAACAAAAAAAATTCCAGGTTATAGAAGACTGTCAAAAGGCCAGGCCCACTAGTTCACATCTGTAATGCTAGCACTCTGGAAGGCAGAGACAGGTAGACTGCCTGAGTTTAGGAGTTTGAGACTAGCCTGAGCAAGAGTGAGACTCCATCTCTAAAAAAATACCTAGTTTCAGCTACTTGAGAGGCTGAGACAAGTGGATCACTTGAGAATGGTAGCATGTGCCTATAGTCCCAGCTACTTGTGAGGCTGAGGCAAGAGGATTGCTTAAGCTTGCAACTTAGAGGCTGCACTGAGCTGTAATGATGTCACTGCACCATAGGCTGGGTAACAGAATAAGATCCTACCTCAAAAAAAAAATTTCAATTAATACACCAAATAAACTGAATAAGGGACAAGACCCAGATAGTCATCTCAACAGAAAATGCATTTAACAAAATTCAACACTCTCTCATGATAAAAACATTTTTTAATGAAAAAAGAATTTTTTTTTAATTGTTAAAATGGCCTGGACACAGTGGCCCACACCTGTAATCCTAGCACTCTAGGAAGCTGAGGCAGGTGGATTACATGAGCTCAGGAGTTGGAGACCAGCCTGAGCAAGAGTGAGACCCCATCTCTACTAAAAATAGAAAAACTAGCCATGTGTTGTGGCAGACACCTATAGTCCCAGCTTCTTGGAAGGCTGAGGCAAGAGGATTGCTTGAACCCAGGAGTTTGAGGTTGCTATGAGCTATAATGCCACAGCACTTTACCAAGGGCAACACAGTCTCAAAGTAAGTAAATAGATAGTTAAAATGGTATATTTTATGTTATCGTATTTTATATAAGTTTTTTTTTTTTTTTTGGAGACAGTCTCATGCTGTCACTCTGGGTATAGTGCCATGGTGTCACAGCTCACAGCAACCTCAAACTCTTGGGCTCAAGCGATTCTCTTGCCTCACCCTTCCAAGTAGCTGGGACTACAGGCACCTGCCACAACGCCAGGCTATATTGGAACCCGCCAGCCTCAGAGTATGTGGCCGGCGCCATTAACCACTGTGCTATGGGTGCCAAGCCTGTATTTTATACAAATTTTTAAAAGTTGTTTTCAAAAAATTTTTTTCTTTTAATTTCAGTTTAGTATAAATTTACAAACAATTAAGTTATAATGTTTGTGTTTGTTACATAAAGTTCCTGTTGTAGTTGTGTCCCTGACCCAGGAGGTATGCAGAAAGCTTTTTTTAATGAGCAAAGATACTGAAAAGATATTCCATCAAAGATGATATACAAATGGCCAATAAACACATGAAAGTATATTCACCATCATTAGCCATTAGGGAAGAAATGCAAATTAAAACCACCATAAGATACCATCTTACATCTACTAGGATAACCATCATTTTTAAAAATTGAAAGAAGGGTTGGCTAAGATATGAAGAAATAAAAACCCTCATACACTGCTGGTAGAAATATGAAATGGTATGGCCACTTTAGAAGAAAGTCTGGTAGTTCCTCCAATGATTAAACATATTTACTTATATATTTACTGTATGAGCTAAGATTTTCACTTTGTTGGTATATATCCTACAGAAAAGAAAACATGTTCACACAAAAATGTTCATAGTGCCATTAGTCATAATAGACAAAAGGTAGAAACAACATAAATATCTATAAAATGATTAATAAATAAAATGTGGTATACTGATATAATGAAATATATTTGGCAATAAAAGAATAAATGAAGTACTGATGCATACTAAACTATGGATTAACCCAAAAACATTACAGTAAGTAAAAAAAGCCGGCCACAAAAGACCACATATTAAGCTGAGTACAGTGACTCATGCCTGTAATGCCAGACACTCAAAAGGCTGAGGCAGGTAAATCATTAGAGGCCTAGAGTTTGAGACCAGCGTGGGCGACACAAGAGAAACCTCCATATATATTTTCTATTTTTGTTTGAGAAACATTCATTTCTGCTTTGGGGTATAATCCATGGTGATATAATTTACATACCATCCAATTCACCTATTTAAAGTGTACAAAAGGACCAGGCGAGGTGGCTCACATTTACAATTCTAGCACTCTGAGAGAGGCCACAGCAGGTAGACTGCTTGAGCTCAGGAGTTAGAGACCAGCCTGAGCAAAGAGCTAGACCCCATCTCTACTAAAAATAGAAAAACTAGCCAGGCATTGCAGCAGGTGCCTATAGTCCCAGCTACTTGGGAGGCTGAGGCAAGAGGATTGCTCAAGCCCAAGAGCTTGAGGTTGCTGTGAGCTATAATGCCACTGCTCTCCAGGGCAACAGAGTAAGACTGTGTCTCAAAAAAAGAAAAAAAAAAAAAAAACATTATTGAACCTCTACTAAGTGACTTTCTAAGTGTTATTATCTGCATTTTATTGATGAAGAAATAGTTAAGCTAAAAACAGTGATTTGCCTAAGCACACACAGGAAGAGGTAAAGCAAAGATTCAAACCCAAGTATGCATAACTCCACAGGTCACATTTTTAATCTCAATACTCTGCTTCTTGTATAGGCTATATGTAGCTCTATAAGCAACTCCTAAAAATTTCAATGAAGTCTAGTATAAACAAGAAAAACAAACATCGTTATTCATAGAACTCGCTTCTCCTAATAAAGAAATCCTTGACAGTTATAATTTCCAAACCATTTTCAACAAAAATAAACACATACGTGCAATTTTTCTTTTAGCCAAACACTTCACTCTATTCGACGGTTTTGTCTTCATTTTCTGCAATCCATTCTCCTCCTTTGGTTCCTGTTGCAAAACAAGAAATATGATCATGGTGGCTGCCACTAGAAGTAATAATTTCTTTATTTTGTCTACCTTCTCCATAGCTAATACCATAGTCTACCTTCCCCATAGCTAATAGGCCTCTAAAAATCAGTAATTATTATAAATGAGCACATAAAACACCAGAAGAAAATATCTTCCAGTACAAGAAAGAAAAGATCTGGAACCAATACAAACCATAAAAATTAAAAGATATACTATGCTGACATTATCTGCCACACATGATCGTGTAAAAATCAACCTATCTGAAAATACCAGTAAACATCACCCAAGACCAGAGAAGCTTGATTCAATGTTTAAAAATCAGTAATAGGCCAGGCATGGTGGCTCACATCTATAACCCTAGCATTCTGGAAGGCTGAGGCAGAAGAATCATCTGAGCACAGGAGTTTAAGACCAGCCTAAACAAGACCACCCTGTCTCTACTGAAAACAGAAACACCAGCCAGGTGTGGTGGCACCTATAGTCCCAGCTACCGAGGACGCTGAGGCAGGCAATTGGCTTCAGCCCAGAGTTTGGGGTTGCAATGAGCTATGACGACACGACTGCCTTCTAGCCAGGGCAACAGAGCAAGGTATGTCTGAAAACAAAACTAAACAAAACCCAAATAATAATGTTTAAACTTGGTGCATGTTAATTTTTTTTAGTTTTTATTTCTGTAAATTCAGGATCTCACTATGTTGCCCAGGCTGGTCTCAAACTCCTGGCCTCAAGTGATCCTCCCACCTCAGGCTCCCAAATTGCTGGAATCGTAGATATAAGCCACCACACTGATCCTGTACTCATTTGTTTTAAAGCACTGGGTAGTGAAGGAAAAACTAACATGGGTAAATGAAAAATTCTATTGAAACAAAAGAGAAGCAAATATACCAATCCCACCACACCTCAAAATTTAACAAGAGTCTGAAGAAAGACCAAATCATCATCATCATCAAGACAACACAACATGAAATAAAAAAGGGAATAAAAATGAGCTGAAAGTGGCTTAAATAAAATATAGGCATAGATGATCCAATATATGTATAATAGGGTCTCTGAAGAAGAAAACAAAAAACAGTGGAACAAACTAATACTAAAACTGTAATGCAAGATAACTTTTCATGGGAGAAAAAAAAAGACCAGAATATGTATATTGAAAATACTCACCAATCTCAGGGAAAATGGACCTGGAACAATCAATTCCCAGACTGAGATTGACACAAACACCTAATCATGTACCAAAACCAGAAAAATTAAATGGACTTCAAGAAAGTAGCATACAGGCTCAGTGCCTGTAGCACAGCAGCTAGCGTGCCAGCCACATACACCGAAGGTGGTGGGTTCAAGCCCAGGCCAGGCCTGCCAAACAACAATGACAACTACAACCAAAAAATAGCCAGGCATTGTGGTGGGCACCTGTAGTCCCAGCTACTTGGGAGGCTGAGG